GCCTGTATAAGGCAAAAGGAAGAGACACGGATGACACTAGTAGCTGTCCACTAGGATGATGGTCACCTCTGCAGAAATAACCATAATCAAATACTCCAATCGCAAAGTCAAAGTTTTTTTTGACTGAATATTATCCATCTTTTAACGAGGTTATTCTTGCTTTTTCATAACAGTAACAGTAACAACGACAATTTTCTGAATCTCAATTGGACACAAGAAAGGGACATTTATGATGAAATGTTAAATATGGTTTTTTATGTAGACACTGGCCATGCCCACCCCTCCTGGTTCCCTTCCTTCCCATAGCTAGTCCTCTATAACTAATTCTGTTTTACACATCAACATCCCTGTTAGATTCAAGTTATTTGAAAACAAGTCTTTTTGTTTTTAATCTATTTATTTTATGTGTATGAGTGTATTGCCTGCATGTATGTAAGTGCACCTGTGTTGTGCAGTGTTCACAGAGGACAGTTCCCCTGGAACTGGAGCTTTGGACAGTTAGTCACCACATGGGTGCTGGGAACCAAACCTGGTCCTCTGCAAGAGCAGCCATTGCTCTTAACCACAGAGCCATCTCTCCAGGCCCTGAAGACAAGCCTCATTTCTTACTGCTATCTTTCATATTTTTTATAATCCATGTAGAGGATTAAATGTATACACATATATGTAAATATTAACATGTGTAGAGTTCATTAAATCTGTTATTTTATGTAGTAATGAGTGGTAATAATAATTTACTGATTTAGCCTGTTCCTGATTTACTTATTTGCTAGAAAACAATGCTCACTGGCAAAATAATAACTTTTTAAAATACATGTCCACCGCTGTGCATACCTCAGGCACACTCCTTCGTACACGAAATAACAGAGCAGAGGGACTAAATCTTCCACTGTTATAATGTCTCAGACACAGTCGGAGAAGAGTACGTTACAAGGGAACAGATTGTCCAAATAACTGAAACTTGCCCCTCTGAGCACTGGCTCCTTAAAACAAATCAAATAGGCATAGACTATAAATCGTGTAACACAAATATTTATGTTTTACACATACTTCATCTGTAATACAATTGTCTGCAGATACATATTTTTATCACACACACGTCCGTATATCATACCTTTCCACACTCAAGACAGAAGCCACAGCTCTGGGCCTCCTCGCATTGCAGGCATTTGCTTGGGCGTTTTGTGCTTTTTGGTCTTATTTCCATTTTCAGCCATTCAACCTCATTTCGTGCTGACGATTCTAGAATTCTTTCTCAGAGCCGCCAGCCCTCCACTCCTCAGTCCTCAGCGTTAGGGACTGTGCTTTGTTTGGATTTGTTTTGCGGTTCTCCAGTTAGAAGCCAAGACCTCACACCTGTGCTCCGCCCTGACCTGCATCCCCAGCTCACTCTTTCACACTAGTTTTCATTTTGAGAGATTTGCTAAGCTGACTAGGCCGGCCTTAAACTCACCCCATAGCCCAGACAGGCCTCGAATCCACAAACCTCCTGCCTCAGCTTCCAGAGTAACTGATTATAGGCCTACACCATCAGGTCTGGTTCTCACTCCTTATTTCTGATCTGCTAAGGACAAATAGAATGTGTGTGTGTGTGTGTGTGTGTGTGTGTGTGTGTGTGTATCAGTATGTATGTATGTGACTGTGCATGTGTGTGTATAGATGTGTGTGTAGATGTATAGATGTGTATTAGTGCATGTGTACATATACTCTGTCTAGTGATGGGGCTCTGTCAGGTGATGGGGATCTATCTAGTGATGGGGCTTTGTTAACTCAGAGCTCCCCCTCTTTCCCTGACTCCTCACCAGCCTCCTGACAGCTCATATGGCTAATTAAGTGGAAGCCTTATAAATGAGAAGTTAATGTGTTTTATTGTATAAAACTTTTCAACTGAAGATTTAAGAAAGCAAGTCAAATTTCAAAACCAACAGCTTGGGGCTGGAGAGATGACTCAGCGGTTAAGAATGCTGGTTGTTCTCCCAGAGGACCCAGGAGAAATTCTTAGCACCCATATGGCAGCTAACAACTATCTGTAACTTCAGCTTCTGCTCTTTCAGATGACCTAAGTTCAGTCCCCAGCACTCATATGAGGCAGCTGACAATCACCTGTAACTCCAACTCCAGGGATCCCACACCATCTGCTGGCCTCCAAAGACACCTGCACTCAATTGCGCGTGCACGCACACAGAGAGAGAGAGAGAGAGAGAGAGAGAGAGAGAGAGAGAGAGAGAGAGAGAGAGAGAGAGATAAAAAAAAAAATCTCTTTATAAACATAAAAAAATTAATATATACATATATGAGAATATATATGTTAAAATCTCTTTTTAAGAATACAAAAATTCTGAAATACCAATTTGGGATTACAAATGTTTGGAGGGAGAAATTAAAAGAATTGATAACACTAAGATAAAATAATGAACCTATAGGTTAGCAAGCACTCTTCTTATCAGTCCTTAAAAAAAGGGCTGAGGACCATGAGGACTTGCCTGCTCCTGCCCATCCTCCTCCTTCCCTGTCTGTTCATTCTCTCTTCTCCCTTCACCTCAGTCCCGACTCCCTGCCCACCCTCTTTCTTTCTTGCCCCTGCTGTCCACAGGGTTCTGACATTTTCTTCAGGAACTGCAAGGTCCTCTTCCAGCTTCCGAAGGGGCCAACTTACTTCCCAAACGGTCTTTGCTCCAAACTAATGCATCACAGGGCCCTTGGCTTTCCCATGCCTGTTGCTCTCTAACAATCTTTCCCCTTGCCTGGCCTCATAACTAATTATTTTGTAATTATTTAAGTTAGCATACAAAGTGATGGGTCTCATTAGGCCTGTGTCACTGTATTCCATTATAATTGTCCCCCTCTAAACAATGATGCAATGATTTCCAAGCACATATCTGACAGTTCCATGTGGAATTGAACTACTAACTTTCCTGGAAAATAATAATTGCCCCTCAGATGACCCTCGCTCAGGTCCCCCGCTCCCCAGTAACCGGTTTCCTTCCTTCCCCTTAGCTAGACCTCCATAAACAATTTTTTCCCATCTATCCATATCCCTGTTAGATTCAAGTTCCTCGAAGGTGAGGATTATTTGTTTTTTACTGACATCGTCCATCGCATGTAGTAAACTAAGAATTAGATGTATACATGTATGAATATTAATATATGTGTATTTAAGTAAATTTATGTGGTTTGTATGTAATAGCAGTGAATCACGTGGTTGTGTTCTCTCATTCCCTTAGCCCAGTCTAAATGGCCCTTTGCAGGAGCTCCCAGAGGCTTGTCTCTTCTGTGTTTCTATATCCTCTCAAGTAGACAGTCAGTACAAACCATCACAAATATTAATTTTGCAGTTATAAGGGGAAAACCAACAGGGAGACATCATTTGAATCCCTGAATATAGCCATACCTAAAACCTGAATAGGACATTTTTGTTAAATGAATTAGCACATTTAGATTTATCATAAAACTTGGAGGCCGAAGAGATGGTTCAGTAGTTAAGAGCACTGGCTGTTCTTACCGAGGACCCGGGTTCAATTCCCAGCACCCACATGGTGGCTAACAACTGTCTATAACTCCAGTTCCAGGGGATCTGATGCCCTCTTGTGACCTCTGTGGGCATTGCATGACATGGGTACACTTACAGACATGTAGGCAATACACTTATACACATAAAAAAATAATTAAAAAAAATAAAACTTGTTTGGATGGGCTCTTCTCTGTTTACAAAGAGAGTCCTGACAGGTGCAGAGACCAGCACAGCTGAGACTTCTCAACTGTGTGGCTCATCAAAGGTCACGTGCCATCCGCTCTGGGTCAGCCCAGGCCTCTACCAGTGCTTTCTTCCAGTGCTCCTTGCTTACTCACAGATGATAAGGGCAAAAGAATTAGAGAACCTTTTGAGATTTTCCTCTCCTCCTGCTTCCCATCACATTTATTTCTCCACAACACACAAAATTATCAAATATCAACATCCCTTGGCAACATTTAAAATGCTCAGGAAACAACATTCAGAATAAATCCTTCAGTGGATGCTAAAAGTCTAGTATTGCCTCAAATGTGTTTTCGAAGTTTACCTATGTCTACCAAATACAGCGTGCACTATCTTACTTGTCCAGAGGATGGGTGAGTATAACCCCCTCACCCCACCCCCCATGTTCCTCCCTGTGGTGTTTTCCCTCTGGTAACACGTGATTTGATCTCTGCTTCCATGTCCAGGTGAGTTGCTGAGCCATGTAACAAGACCAGGAATTATTCAAGCAGAATAGATTTGTATAAATGTCATGAACTGGGACAAAGTGACGGAAGAGGTCAAAACCCGCTGATGCCTCCGGACTCAGTCATCCAGCAGCAGATGGTTCCACAAACTCAGGCAGCCTTCAGGGGTCGGGGTTTCTGATCTCTGCCCCAGGCAGTAGCCTGGCTTCAGCTGTTTCAAATATGCCCATCCATTATCAGTCAAAAACCATGACCGCATACTCACAGTCCTCTTTCCAGGGACTGAGCCAAACAAGGAGAAAGGGAAATAAACCTGGAGGTGCCTGGGAAATGCTGGCCGCCATAGCTGACTGCAGCAGATCTGTCTGTCTGAGTGAAAGGTCAAGGTCATGCTTGAAAGTCTTCAGGCTTATGTGAGGTTGAAAGGTCACCTAGCTTGTGGGATTAATCTTTTGTTTGGCATTTTCCCATAACACACACACACACATATACACACATGCATATACACATGTATATACCTAAACATGCAAACATAGATACACACATGTAGACATATATACACATGCACGTGGATATATATACACACCATACTCGCATGTGCACACACGTTTACACATTCATGTGTACAAGTGCATGTACACATACACACATCTATACATATACATACATATACATACATATACATATACACACATACAGGGACAGACACATATATACATACACATACACATATGGACACATACATATGCATCTAAATACATATACAAATATACACACATACAAGCATGCACACACATGGACAAACACACATATACATACACACAAGGGCATACATGCACATATATATGCATATACATATGCAAACATGCACATGCATGCATGGACACATGGACACACCTATATACACACACATGTGCACACATGCAAGCATATACATGCACGCAGTACACACAAACATGCATGGATGCACACATGCAAACATACATGACACATTTGTGCACACTTGTATGATAAATATGTCCACACATATGCACGAGGACACATACATGCAGATACACACGTGACCACACCAGTCCATGCTTATTATTGGATTCAGTATTTGCAATTTACCTATGTGCTAAAATCTGTTGCCCCCAAATTAATACCCAAGATACTTCCCTAGACATGTGCAGGGTGGTAAAACACACCACCTGCTACTGCTTCCAGCGGAAAGGAGCAGGCCGAGCACCCAGCCTTGGGCCTCAGCAGTCAATGTAAACGCTCGAACTAGCTCTGTTCTGGTTAGTGCTGGGGATTTTGAACTTTTGTGGGTTTTGATGGTGATTTGACTATTTAAAATGTTCCCCCTTGGAGCTGGAGAGATGGCTCAGCGTTTAGAACACATACTCATACTGGTCTTGCAACAGAATCCAGTTCCCAGCTCTCACAACAGGCAGCTCACAACTACTTCTAACTTCAGTTACAGGGGATTCAATGCCCTCTTCTGGCCACTGTGGGTACTGCACTTACATGCACAAATCCAAACACATAAATGAAATTTTATCTTAAAAATAATAAATATAATAGAGTACGTGAAATTGGACAGCGGGAGTTGGGGTGCAGACAGGGAGGAGATTTAATTCAGTCAAAATATATTGTATGAAATTCACAAAAATTCAACACACAAAAAAAGAACAGATAATAAATAAATTGTCCCCCAAGTGTAGTGAAGATGTGTCCTCTGGTACTCTGACACAAGAAACGGACACGACTGCAGACAAAGTTCATGTGCTGGAGACCATTCATCAAGACATGAGTCATACTGCTGTTGGCTGAGTTCAGTGCTAAGGAGTCACAATATGTATTAAATAAATTATCACACAAAACGAGACTGAACACAGATCAGGGACACACATGATAGGACCAAATATTCCCAGAAGCGCAGTGTTGTGGCTTCCTGGAAGCAATGGTCCCCTAACTGCTAATGCTCTTGATGACCACACAGAGTGTAATGACAGATTAACGAGGCCCAAGTGTGTAAATGCATGATGCATATATGTGTATGGTATAATCACACATTTCTGTTGTTTCCTATTTATTTGCTTCTCTTAATAAACAAATATAAATTGCATGTATTTATTTTTGTTTTCAATGAGTAATTATAAGATGGTTAAAATGAGCTAATTAACATATACTATTTCTGCCATTTTTCAGGAGATGAGAGCACTTAAAGGTCTGCTCTTTTAATAATTTTTAAAAATTCAATACATGGGCCAGTGAGGTAGCTCAGCAAATAGGGGTACCTTCTGCCAAGGCTGATGACGTGAGCTTGACCCATAGGACCCACATGGTAGAAAGTAGAGAATTCCCACAGGTTGTCCTCTGACCTCTTCGTGTGTGCCATGGCACATGTGTGTCCCTACATGTACATATGCACACACACATAACACATAAATATACATAAAATATTTTAAATACAAGGCATTGTTATTAACTATAATTACCATGTATACATATATTTATAATTAGCACTGTGTACAATGGGTCTTGTTTCAAATATCTAATCTTTTTAGAGAAAAAACTACAACATCCTTTCCTACAATCAAAAGGAAGTCCCCAAAATAAAACTGGAGATCGAAAATTTATGGCCTTTTCCATCCAGTTCTAGCAGAGAAAAGGTTATAGAAGGCTCACTGTGGGGCTGTCTGGATGGGTGGGAAGGACCTGAGGTCTCGCTTTAAGCCAGTTTGTCATAAATTTTCCACTTGTTCCAGTAATAGTATTCACTAGAGAGCCCTGGGTAGCATCTGCCAGGGACACAACAGACCAAGGACCCTGTGCCTCATTTCTCTGAACTGGGGTCTGACCTTGGAGTGCCCTTTCCCACACATGTCTATAGAGTGAAGCCTCTTTGCCTACTCCCACCTGCGGAGATAAGTAAGACATTAATCTTGGCATTCAAACTCTAAGAGATTTTAGTCACCTTGACCAGAGTTTTACCACATTAACCGGAATTTGTGTGGCACACAAGCTGGAGAAACCACAGTGTGCGACAGTTTGAGGCAGCAGAGAAGAATTCAAGAGAAGATTGGTATCTTCAAAAATCTTACCATGACAACAAGGGGAGACGCCTAGATAAAATTTCAATGTGAAACCTCATGGGACCTTCATCTGTGTGATACTGAGATAATTCAGCATTCCGCTAAAAATAATGGAGGGAGCAGCAGTCACGTCGCGGCTCAAGCAGAGCGAACGGGTGAGTGCAGGGCTTTGTGGGATAGACTAAACTTCGGTTTCCATTCGTGTGTTTTCTTGGAGACCCTGTGCAGACCTCGAATGAAGCAGAAGATGCCTAGTACCTGTGGTGTTGTCCTGACCTAAAGCCTCAGCCTCACAAGTGGCTGGTAATCACATTTGTCGTTAATGCTTTTCTCCAAATTGCTCAAGGCAGAGAGAAAATTTCATCATCTGAGCAGTGTCCCTGAGCATTGCAAGAAGGCAGAAGAGATGGACATAGAGGGGGAGGGAGGAGGGAGGAGGGGGGAGGGAAGAGGGGATACTGGAAGGGGGACAAGAAGCCTTGACCAGGTCCTGACATCCTGTGTGGTTAGAGGGTGCAGCCAACCAGAAGGTCCAGCCATATGTTGTGGATTGAAGGTCCACCTTTATTTTCAATCTTTCCTAAAATCCCTTAAACCAGTAAGTCTCAAACTAGCTGAAGCCAAGTTTCACTCATGCTGAT